ATGTGCTGAGGCTCAGACAAGGTGAACAGTTTTGCTCACGGCCTATCAGTAAATTGAATATTTATATCTGGGGCCCAGGATGACTGATTCCAAAGCCTTTGGTAAAACTAGAAGTACTGAGAGGCTGGTAAGCACAGAGAGAGAGGGAGAGAGAGGGAGAGAGATCACAGATGGCCCCAAGTTGCTGGGCACAGCTCCCTGTTGTGCCAGCAGCTCACTGAGCTGGGGCAGAGCCCTGCTTTAGACTGGAAATAGGTCAGGGAGAAGCACGTGTGGGGCAGAGTGGTACAAGAACCTGTGGGGGGTGGGGGGGTGGCAGTGGGAATCGCCATGTTTTGCTGAGTTTCCCCGAGAGCCAGCTGGTTCCTGGGCTTGGCCGGGCATGGCCCACCTCACTCCTGCTGGGACCCTGACATTCTGCCTTTTCTTGGGTCCCGCAGGGTGCATCACTCCTTCCTTCACACTGCCCAGGAAGTCTTGGAAAAGAGCACACAGGCAGACAGTCTTGGGCTCAAATCCTCACTCTGCCACAGTCACTGAGGGACCTTGGGCTGTCACCTCGCCTCAGCTTCTGCACGTGCAGCGCAGGGCTGGGCCTTTGCAGTGTCTGCACTGCAGCCGTGCGGCATGCGAATGCTGCTGTCAGGGTGTCGTGACCACAGGCCAGGGTCTGCCATATTCTTTCACAGCCTCGCTGTCCTTCCCCACAAGCATGCTCACACACTGTCACAAGAGCCCTACTAAACAGACGTCTGTCACCACACAACCCACACGGCTGTCCCCAGCCGTGTGGGCCGGCTGAGTCAGTCAGCCCCTCCATCCTGTCAGCCCAGCACCACCGCCTCCTCCTCATCCCCAGGTTCTCCTGCTTCACTGGGCCTTTTAAATGCACATTTTTGCAATTCAACAGTCCTCCCTTCACCCAATAAACTGAGGCCCAAGGGCCACACTTCGCCAAATTTATGAAAGGAGCCGGCTGTAAAAGTGGGTCTAGACTCAGGCGTCTGGACCCCCAGCCCAGAGCATCCAGAAAGGCCTTGGAGGTGGGTCGTGCCTCAGAACCATCTGCACAGAGGCTGCCTGGGGAGCAGCTCACTCACCACATCCTCGCCCACTCCTCGGTCCTGCCCACTGTCTCGCACACACAGCCTCAGCATCGCAGCCCCAGACTTCTCAGTCACGGCAGCTGCCTCCCCCTCCCTTCCCCAGCCTGCTTAATAACAGACATGGCTGCCATCTCGATCGTTGCTGTGTGCCGGGAACATCACTAGGCACACGCGGGCCTCCCAATCTTCCTCCTGAGTATTTCCTGTGGGTGCCTCCTCCCCGCACCTGTCCTGCCCAACACCTTTGGGCCGGGGCTCTGTTGCAGCCATCTCACTGGCCTCCCTGCGTCCCCTCTCCGGGACTCTGTCTTTCACATAACTTACACGTCTGACTGCCGCCGCCCTGTCCAGACCGTCTACGGCATCTCATTGCCCTCATGGTGAAGTCCAAGCTTCCTCAGGCTGCCACCCTGGGCCTCCCAAACTCCTCACACCTGCCACCTCGGGACTCGCAGGCCTGGCCACCCATGGTTCCCCCATACAGCCTACTATACACACTGTACACCCACACACCTCGCTTGTACCCCATTACACACATACACATCACATTATCCACTGTACACCACACACATCCCGTGTACCCCGTTACACCCATACACATTACACGTAACTCATCTACCTCCACACACACCATCAATAATTGATATGTGATATACACCCCATATACACCATGTACAACTGCTATACTCACCACACATGCCCACATACACCCATATATACCATATACACCATACATCTAACCCCATATAGACCATACACACTCCATGCAGCCTATATACCCCACTATGCTCCATACATGTCATACATACGTGACTCCATATACTCTATATTCATACATACACCCCATACATACCACACACACCCCGTGCAAGCCATTTCCCAGAGGTCAGAGGTGTTGGGCTTCACATGGCCCACACACCACCTACACGGCCCGCCCGTGGACTCTGCCTGCTCCGACGCTTCACCATCGCCGGTCCCCTCTGCCTGCAATGTCCTTCCTGCCCTGCTATGGGCCCCTCCACAGGCCCTCCATGGGGCGAGAGAGGTTCGTGTGCGTTCAGCTTCCCTGCTGACCACCCTGGGGTGGGCACGTGCCCTCACCACCAGGGCCCAGCGTGTCCTCTGGGAAGGAGCAGGCAGTGCCAGAGCAGCTGCCTTCTGCCCCACGCATGCCTCACCTCCATCTTCCTCTCACACCCATGCCTCTGCTCTCCCACTGCCCAGCCCAGAAAGCCCTTCTTCCTCACCAGTCTCAAGACACCACAGCCCCTGCGGAGATGGAGCTTTCTCTCCTCCCTCTCCTTCTTTCCTTTCCCTCTCACCTGCTCTCCCTCTTTTCTTTTTTTTTTTTTTTTTTTTTTTTCTCGGCATACGAGAACCTGGTAGGTGACTGGAATCCAGCCAGGCGTGCCACTGAGCTACATCCCTGGTCTCTGGAGAGG